ACAGAAGAAAGTAAATTCAGTTTTTGAGTAGTGTTGTTTTAAAAAAAAAAAAAAAAAAAAAAAAGTTGGGGGTTGGAAACCCTCCCAAAACAAGCCTGCCCCTTCTGGTGGATCTTTGAGCTGTATGAGGGAAATTAGCATAGCCTGAATTGCGCGGTGACTGAGGGGAGTAGTGGGAAAATTTGGAGCAAGTGGTGTTCATGAAGTGTGTGGTGGTGTTAAATGCTTATACGTAGGATAATTTTTAGCTGTGGTAAAGTAATACACAATTTCATCATTCAGATTACATTGCACATCTTTAGTTCTCTGGTAAATGTGTAAATGTTAGTTAAATGTTTTCACCTGAAGATACTTAATCCTGTGAGTGTCTTTGGAAAAATACATGAGGCAACAGCAAAGAGAACAAAAGCTGATGATGTTCCTCTTGGTCCCTGAGGATACATCCTAGTGATGTTCCTATTAAGAGGTGGTCTTGGACAGACGCCTTTAATAAATATTTATTAGAGTATTGGGATTAATATTTCTGTCCTGTTATTTGGAGTTCTTAGGTGTTATTTTGGAGAAAATGAGAAAGAAGTTAGTACCTTTAAATGTGGTTTCCTTTCCTCCTTGAATTTTTAGGTTTAATTCTGTAGGTATGGTTTTTACATCATATTTTTTTGTCCGTTGCAAAAATTATCACAGTATTGTTGCTAATGGTAGAATGTATGTTTCTGAAATAGTTTTTGGAGTTGCTCTTTGGCCATGTGCTCTCTGTAGGGATTTAATTTGTATTATCTTTCATTACTGAGGCCTGAACGAGAGAGAACGTGAAGTTCTAAACATCATAACCTACTCTTCTGCCTTAGAATGCCATAAATGAACTACTGCTTTGAGTTATATAGAAAATAACTGTCCATGTGAATTGGATAGTTATTGTCCAACTTCTGTACATTTATCTTTAGCCCTCAACTGCATGACTGCTTTGGGAAACTGAAGCACAATTGATAATTACCAAGGCTTCTCAATGACCAAAGGAGATTACATTAAGTCCATATATCAGACTTTGGCATTACACCTTTTATTCCTTTAAAGAAGGCGTGTGCTGGATGAGGAAGCTTTTTGCAGCTTGTTTTGTTTTATTTCTCCACAGGTTGATCTGTATGTTTGCTTATTCTGTGGCAGAGGAAACAACGAGGACAAACTGCTACTGTGTGATGGGTGTGATGACAGCTATCACACTTTTTGCTTGATTCCTCCTTTACCTGATGTACCCAAAGGTGACTGGAGGTGTCCCAAGTGCGTTGCTGAGGTATGGTTTCAAGAACTATTCAAACTTTGAATGTGTACTTGTGATTCTGAAAAGGTCAGCACCAAGAGCTGTTCAGCTCCCACTGCCGTTCCATCTGAGTAGAAGCTGTGTTTTGTTTGGAGTACTGTAAAGGTGAGCTGTGAATTTCCAGCTGCTCTTGGCTCGTTGAACTATAGGAAGAGATGAAAGAAGAGATGGAAATGTCACTTCCAGAGCCTTCGTATGACCTTTGTTTATTATATTTCTGTGTGAAAGCTAAAACTTTAGCCTTTGTATGCTAAGAGCCGAAACTCAATTCGATGAACTGGTAATGGAAATTAGAGTGAGCAGTAGGGCTATTGAAAGTCTATGGCTGGAGGGGGTAACAAAAGAGAGAAATGTTGTAAGGGTTACAATAGGTGATTCAGCATAAGGATAAGGTATTTTCTAAACTATGAAGTAATCAGTCTGTTACTTGGGCATAACAGAGCTTCGTTTATTGGTAAATAATTATGGCATTTCTCTAATTGTCTGTTATCTGGGATACGTTCGGAACAGCTTGTTACAGAAGGTGAAGGAACCAATTTAAAAAGTAGCTATTTTAAATTTGGTTTAGTCTAAGAGAAAAAAACTATTGAGGCCTTGAAAGTGGAAATTGATTTGAATTTATTTGCTTGAGAAATAGAAGTTCATATGTCAAGAGGAACGAGATCAACAGCCTAAAGGCCATGGACATCATTTGGTTTTCTTGATATTTGTCTTTAAAAAAGCAGATTTCAGCAAGTTCAGAAAATGGGCAGATACTCTGAGGAAAGAAGCTTACTGTTTCTAAGGCTGCAATTTTGTGATTAGCTTGAACTTTTTACACTGTACTTTTCCTGAAAGGGGCTATCACACATTCATACGCCCACCCTGCTGGCTGTGGGCTTCTGCTGTTTCCTTTATGGTGGTCTGAATGGTTGCACAGACAAATGATGAGGTGGATTAGCTCACTGATCTCTAACCCTCTGTCCAGAGAGATTAGGTTGTCGGATGAACTCACGCGAATACTGTTATGAGAGGTGGAAATTCAGTCACAGGCAAGGGAGAGGATGGGACTAACCCTTTGAGCTGCAGCTCACAGAGTTGATTTAGCTGCTTCTTAAACCTTCCCTTAAGAAAGAACCTTGAAGGAATATTAGCGAGCTACACCAGTCCAAAGTGTTGAAATGTGAAAACCCATGCGAAATGTCAGTAATAGTAGTATTAGTAGTAAAAATGGAGATACATTGTTGCGAAGGTTAAATCACACATGTAGGAACAAAATCAGGAAAATTAGGGTGCAAGTTAAGCTGCTATTGGCAAGTGATGCAAAAAAGTACTTGAAGAAAAGTTCTGTAAGTACATTGAAAGTAAGAAGAAGGGGAAAAGCGTAGGTATATTATGTAATAGGAGAGTAAGCAAATAAGAGCATGAAGAAGTTTGAAATACTCAGCAGTGCTTTTTTTTGCCTCAGTTTTTACTATAAAGGTTGATTGTGTGCAGATGCTTAATGTAATGTTAACAGCGGGATGCCAAAGCAGGCTAGAATAGAGGAATAGCACGATAAAGATTGTTTAGATGCATTCAGGTCAAAAGCATTTGACAAGCTTAAGAGTACTTACAGCTAACTAAAACAATCTTTGAACTATTAGTGGTTATCTTTGAGAAGTTATGGCCTAAAGATGAGGTATCATTGCTCTGATTTCAAAATAAATTGCTTAAAAGAAATGAACAGCTTCTGAAACAAAAAGCATCAGAAGAAAGATCTGGTGGTAATAAACATTGAGGGAATTTAAGAACAGATCATGTCAAATCAAACTCACTCTCTTTTTATGGCATACTAAGCTTGAGCAAAAGGCAAAGTAGTAGTGTGATTTTAGAGTGGCTGCAGACTACATGGTACAGGCTACATCAGTCCTTTCTGATGTTCTCATAAGCAAAAAAGAATGCAAATAGTCTAGATTACATTAGTATAGAGCTGATTATTCAACTGCTTGAAAAATCATCTTTGAAGAAATTGTTAACATACAGTTGCCAGTCTGGAAGATAATATTGAGGAGGTTCTGTCTAGGGTTCAAAATTAATTCAGTATGTCCTTCAAGAAATTTAAAGGGTAAAACGGGGATAGAGAGAGAGAGAGAGAGAGAGAGAAGTGAAATTTGACCGTTATCTGGAAGGTGCTGTCATAACCTTGAAGAGCAGGATTAGGGTTAAAGTGATCATGATAAATTTGAGAAATAGTTTCAGATAAAAGTTAATACTTAATACAGGTAAATGCTATGCATGGAAAGAAAGTGTTGAGTGCAGGTATACACAATAGGGAATAAATAGTTAGAGAGCAGAGCAGCATAAAAAGGGGATCTTGGGTTTATGACACCTAAATGGAATAGGAGTTGATGGTGATGTTGCAAAAAGGGCATATGCTGTTTTGGGGGTAAGTTATTAGGTTCTTGAATTTGTTTGAACCAATGATAATACATCATCAGTTGAAATTTCCAAGAAGGATGGTTAGATAATAAGGAAAACTTTCAACGAGAAGGAGAAAATAACGTTTTGGTAGGTTGCTTATGGAGGCTGTAGATTCTCTGTTGCAGGCCACATTTGAGAACTGCTCTGATAAATATTGGGCATAATCTAATGATAGTTTTCTCTGAGGAAAAGAAACTACCAACTTGAATTCTTTTCCAGTCCTATTTCACTATGACTAAAAAGCTGATCATCAATTTTGTCATGTTTCTGTTCGAATATATCTTATATATAAAAATTGTCAGATACGAAGGGGAGGAAATAGACATTTTGGAAATAAGTGAGGAGAGCAGTAGAAATGTGATCGGGTTGCTTTTTGCAGTCTGAGATAATTGTGGATAAAACAGTGGTGGCCCCATAAAGTTCTTCTGTGTTGGATGAATGATGCCTGTTATTAGCTGTTACAGAACTTATCCCAAGCAGCTGATTAATGTTATCTTAATATCTTCCTGCTCTTGCCTCATGCTTTCATGGTGCCAAATGAGTTGATGACTTGGTGATTTGCTAAAACTAAAGCACTTGTGGGATTTGCTCCTGTGCAGTTTTTCTGCAGGTGCTCGATTCCACTGCGTCTCAGAAATCCCTGAAGACTGTCTTAAGTTTCTTCCTTGTGCTCTGTCTCACTGCTGCCTGCAGCAGTAGATGACAAGACTTAGTTTTGGACAGGCAAGCAAAAGCACATAGCGTTGGAGTTTACCATGTTAATTAACTTCCCTTATTCTGTTCTGTTTCCATTGTGGTAGGACTTCCTCATCTGAGAAAAGCACTCAAAACTGATAGCTTGTTGTGTTTGGTAAGGACTCAGATGGACACTGGTTTTTTTTTTTTTGCTAAAAGTGCGATTGCTTGTCAAAATCTGATGCAGGGAACAATATTTGTATGCTGCCTCTTCCAGGAATGCAACAAACCCCGTGAGGCATTTGGATTTGAACAAGCTGTCAGGGAATATACTCTCCAGAGCTTTGGTGAAATGGCTGATAACTTCAAGTCTGATTATTTCAACATGCCGGTCCATGTGAGTTTCAACATTTGTTGTGTTTCCTTGTAGGGTAAAAAGAGAAGTGGTATCAGCTGATGCTGAATTTCTGCTGAGGCATCTTAGCTTTGTTTTAAAAGGCACCATGAGCTTGAAACATGTAAACAAATGATTTAGCTTTCTAGTATCTGGTCTCATTTCAACTTAATTTCACCCTCTTCCTATGATAAATAGATGGCTTTACTGCTTGTTAGGGGGTAGCTTTGTGGGTCATACTCCATTTAAGCTCTTCTTGATTAATTGAAGTGAATGTATATAATTGTTCTTGTTTGGCAAAGGATTGTTTCTCTAGTCCTTCCTGCGTGTTTTATCTTGGTTTAGTTTGTTCAGAGGATAAATCCCCCTTTCTTGCAGACAAGTCAATAGACTGAGTCTGTCTGATAATCAGCTTTTTTGGTTCTGCACCTCAGCAACACTTTCAGAATGGACATGTCTGTTCTGGCACACCTTGATTCCACTGTCCTCTAGACTGCATGCAGCATCGAACTTCTCCCTTAAGGTTTCTTTGGTAATTCATAGGTGTTCTTGTCAATGCTTCCACCTTGTAAGCACGCCAATTTATAATGTAGCTAGAAGCTGTGATGAGCTGCATGAAAACTGCATTCTCTTGAACACAATTCCTTATCTGAATTTCATTGCTATTACTCAGAATTTTTGGTTGTTATCCCCTGAAAAAGTTTGGAATATGCAAGCAGTTTGTTCTGGTTGCTGCTCAGGTTCTGCTGATTGTGTCCTCCTCCATTCTTTGTTGTCAGGATTTTTTTTTTTTTTTGGTTAAAGCTGTACTTCCAATAACCCCATTTTCTTTTTTTGTCCATCCCGTCCTTATAATGTGGCATCCTGTTTCTATTATATTGCAACCACTGCTAAGGAATACAAACCAAACTGCATGACTTTAAAGAGGTGGAGGGGTGAGAGGGAATGGCCTTGGTGCCTCAAAATCCCTGAGGGGTAGTAACAGTGTTATGACTTAAATGATAGTTTTTAGGTTGGGGCTTATCTGCACGTACCCTGATAACTTTTTCCTTTTCAGATGGTTCCCACTGAACTTGTGGAAAAAGAATTCTGGCGATTGGTGAGCAGCATAGAAGAAGATGTCATAGTGGAATATGGGGCTGATATCTCATCCAAGGACTTTGGAAGTGGCTTTCCAGTGAAGGATGGCCGACGAAAGCTGATGCCAGAGGAGGAGGTGAGGAACAGAATATGCAAACTGACCCTGTTCTTTGCTCTGCATAAGATCTCACATTAAGCATTTAGGCCTGTAATCAATGTGTTTTTTTTTAAATATAGAAATTGCTTAAGGCTTTTGTGTGTGCTTAGCCTTCCTTTTGCAGAGATATTTTAGGGTATGTTTTCCCCTCCCCCCCTCAGTCTGGTTCTGATAGTTAAGCTTTTATTCCATGATGTAGTCAACACCTGTTTTGTATCACCTAATCTTAGCAGGCAATGTGATATCTTTTGGTAAAGATGTAGAAGATGTAATAATATGTCCAAGTATAAGGAGACCGATAAAATTTTCCATTCTTATTCTGAGCGCCTTAGTTGTTTTGGGTTAGCTAATGAAACGTGATTCCAATCTCCTTAAGAGGTTCAAAATAAATAAAAATTTTCGATAATTGGATTTAGCTTGCCCCTCTTGTATAGTGTAAGAATAAAAAGATGTGGATATGCTGTCCTATTATGGAAAATAAGATGAAGATCTGATAAATATATTGCCTCTTTTCCCTCACTGCCTATAGCAATTTTATTGTCCAGACTAACTGTAGTGCCTAAATCTTCTGGCTAATTATGTTTAAATTCAGTCCAAGAAGGAGAGTAAGGGTATTTTTTCATGGTTACACAGCCCAAGGTCAATTTATGCCACTCACTGGGGGAGGTAGTTCTCCTCACTATCTATCATCTTCCACCTTTGCCTGCACCTTCCTAGCTGCACCTTTGTGTTGGCTATGCAACGATTGTTTGACTGCTTGGTGAATTGGAACCGCTTCTTGATCTGTGTATGAAAGCAGTGATTTAAAATTTTTTCTAGCCAGATCCATGAGGCCATCCAATTCGCTGTGTTGTGTTTAGTGTCAGTGCAAAGGAAACAATGGGAACATATGTCTTGATTTGACATTGAGACCACTCCTTTAGCAGCTATGGCATATGCCTAACCTGAATCAGTGCACTAACAGCCTTTTTTTTAAGGTGAAAGGCAGACTAATGCAAAAGGATGGTAGTGAGCTTTTTGGTCAGTTTGAATTCTCTGTTTTCATACAGAGCACCTTTGAACGTAAATGTGGAATTGCTTATGAGAATTTCTCATAGGGGAATTTCTCCTTTTGAGAAAAATTTCTAGCATAATGTATAAAAAAGCTCTATGCAGTAAAGTAAGCCTTTTAAAAGGTGGCATAGCAACATAAGATTGTAAAAGATGTAGTGAAACTTAAGCTATCCAGTTTCACTGAAGAAGTCTGTTTTTTGTTCTTCCTCTGGTCTTTTGTTTCATCAGAAAAGCATGAAAGCTACAAACTAGTAGGGAAAAAAAAATTTGAAGCCTAAATGTATAGACCTTGATCCAAAGAATATGGGCTATGTTGAAATACTAGGACTGGCCTTAAATGTTAGCCTGATTAAATGCTAAGGTATTTAAGGAAGTATTTTCTAGTTGTGATGCTTCAGTGTTGTAGAATATGAACCGCTGTCTGGTACAGAAATGAATTGGCTGATCCTTTCCTTTGTACTTTTTTTTCTAAAGGGTGGTATTCCGATTGTCTTCTGACTTGTTCCAAACTTTCTCCTTTTGTTTGGCAGGATTATGCTCTTTCTGGTTGGAACTTGAATAACATGCCAATTCTGGAACAATCGGTCCTTGCCCACATCAATGCAGATATCTCTGGCATGAAGGTACCTTGGTTGTACGTAGGGATGTGCTTCTCATCATTTTGTTGGCACATTGAAGACCACTGGAGCTATTCCATCAACTACTTGCATTGGTATGGCCTCTCTTTCTCTTGCGCAGCTATCTTGCACTGCCTTGTTTGCCATTGATAAATTTGCAGTTCTACTTGAAAATACCTGCACATGCTGATGACCTCTTCTAAACAAAAAGCTAAAAAGGATGAGTATATGTTCCATATTCTGAACTGAAACTGATTAAAAGAGTACAAATACTCTTTAAGCACTTTGGTATTAACTTTTTCATTAACCTAGTGAATATTTTTTGTTTCCAAAAATCCATTGTCAGTGTAACATCGTGTTTCATGGGCCCACATTTTTTCTGAGGAAGTTCTTGATTTTGAACCGAGTTGCAGTTCGTTGATTTCTGTGTGCTTTGTGAATCAGAGTTGGTGTTCCCCTATTCTGGCATGAGGGCTGCTGCCTAGAGGCTTTTACAGGCATTGGAGCAGCAAGTTGAGCAGCAGATCTGTGTATAGAGAGAAATACTGCTGTTGATTCAACAGAAGAGAACTTTGAAAGTAATTTTGACTTTTAGAACGTTCCCAGAAATGTTCTGGTGTTTAGTTTTTGTATTTGAAAAGAAGAGTGGTGGCAAATTAATGATTTGCATTGCAGTCTTCCCAATTCATCAGGCTCGGTCAGCGTGGGCAAGGGGGTATGGGAAGCACCCCTTTGGAATGAAAAGTGTGTTGTACTTATGGTAAGGATCAGTTGATGGCCTTTAGACCATGATTGCACATCTCAAGAAGCATATATCCTGGTAAGATCTGATCCATAGGCTCAGGAGGGGGATTCATTTTGTTTAGAATTCAGTTACTGTCCTCAGCATGCTGCTGACTGGATCAGTGTGAGGGTTTTGTCAGCTGATGAATTTAGCAGCTCAGCCAGATACAGAGGAGTTTTACTAGCTATGTCCTGCCAGCAGGTGTCACTGAAGCCTGCAAGAACTAAAAAAAGACATGCTGCCCTATTCCTTATCTAGCTTTTGGTGTAATTGGTGACAAAGCTTATTAATATAGTTAGATAGTGAGTGTTATGTAAACTATTTCAGATATTTAAGTAGACCATCTTACTTGGATGTACAAGCAATAAAATTAAAACAAATAAACCTCGGCACCATAGATTCTAGATCATTACAACTTACTTTGGTAAAGCAGGACTGGAGGGACTAGAATAATATGTTCTCAAGTAATTTTTTTTTTTTTGGCTTCTTTGTCCCTTTCTTCTCTCACACTTAACTAATTCATGCCGTTAGGCATTTTCCATTTTAAGTCGAGTGGACCATGGGTTTTCAGTAGTTGGTTATGTATATTAGAAGGATTTGTTATACTTCCTCGCATTAGTATTTTATTCTTTCCACTCCTTTTTGGGTTGTATACTGTTACATTGGTTCCAGACACTGGACTTCTCCAAGCCCAATTAAGTGAGTGGAAGGAGTACCTTGATCTCTTTTCTCTTAGACGTTGGCTATGATAGCAAAGATAAACTGTGATAAACTTTCCTACTATTTCCTAAAGGAAAATAATTACCCATTTTATCCCTTTAGAGTATTGAAAATGATGATTGTCTTCCATGTTAGGCTTGTCATGGTAAAGCTGCTGGCAGATCTATTGAGAACTGTGTTGTAGAGTAATTGACTTCTCAGGTTAGAATGATACAACTGTGAAGACAACTGTTTTTGATTAAAGATATTTTGGGAGGTATATACAAAATATTTGACTTATGTGGACAGTGTTAGTTTTATGACATGTACTTTGCAGTTGAATGGCACCCTCACTTCCCTAGAAATAACGTGCTTATTACTCTGTGTTTTTTGTTAGGGGAGAGCCAAAGACATGGTATGGCGTGCCTTCGCATGCAGCAGAGCAACTGGAGGATGTGATGAAAGAACTGGCTCCTGAGCTATTTGAATCCCAGCCTGATCTCCTGCATCAGCTCGTCACTATCATGAATCCCAATGTGCTGATGGAACATGGTGTACCAGTGAGTATTACAGAACCATTTTTCACGTACATACTTTTATGGACTGATTTTTATTCTGTATTGTGTAACAGTGGTTTGGAATAACTGAAGAATTTTTGTGGTGGACTTTTACAGATCTAGTTCATCAGTTGTAGGGTGGTTTTAACAGATATTTTCTACAGTCCTTCTGCAGAAGGAAGTAGTCTCTGAAGAAGACTCACCATGAAGTTTAACTGTGAAATTCTAGAAGTGAATGTGCCAAACTTTTTAAAAAAACAAACAAACAAACAAACAAACCCAAAGCTTTATGTGAAGATATACCATACAGAACAATTGTATATTATGTTATATTTGGTCAGTGGATTTTTTGTTTGTCCCTATTAAAGGGCCAGAGATCAACATTTGGTAGTGATGAAAGCATTAAAACACAAGCTTTTGGTTGGAGGTCGCTGTTTCTGTTAACACTGACTTGCAGGATTTAAGTCCATCTAACGCCGCAGTGCTCTTTCTCTTCATGAGTTACTGTTAGTGATTTGGGGTGTAAGATTCCAGTGAAGCAAGGCTGGCAATATATGCCCACATCTTTCTTTCTGTGCCTTGTTTTAGGGATTGCTTTAATTCTATGTAGAAGGCTATTGTTTCCAAAAATACTGTTACTGTTAATTGTGAAAGCTCTGGCTATGGTTATCCATGCGATTATACAAATTTATTCTTTTATTTTACCAATATGTAATACTGGTAAACTTGAAAATATGACTTTTAAAAAATGTCATGGTAATTAATCTAGCAGGTGGAGAAAATTGAAATTCTCTTTTGTAGTAGTTATTTTTGCTTTCGGGTTCCCACTGGAAAATAGTGTCATAGCAGTAAACTTGTCTGTGAAATGATTTTAGTGTCTTCTAATAGTTAAATATTTGTCTTATGTTTTGCAGAAAGCTGAGTTCTTGCAAGCTCTGCTTTCGACCATAGTCAACAGTGGCCCTTTAAGGAGCAGTCATTGTCCTTTGCTGTTGTGTTAGGGTAAACTGCTTCTCTGGCAAATTTCCCAGCAAAGCAAACTGAAGTGTTTCCAGAGGCTTTTGCACATTGCGTGATGGATTAAATGATAATCTGTTAGTTGATAATGCAGAAACATCCCTTTTGGGAGTCATAAAGAGAAATCCCTATACCTTGTATTTTCACCTGCTGGCTTTACGTATTCAGCTTTTTTGAATAAGACTGTAAATTTGAGGATTCATTTTAAGAGGATTGAACCACTCATTACCACTTCTGTAGTGGCTATGTTAACCTATGGTGTTCTATAGGTAAAGAAAGTGTTTTCCAAATGTGTTGTTGTGATATGTTGTAACTTCTGTTGCAAGTTTCATTTTTTTTCTTCTTTTTTTTTTTTTTTTCTCCTTTATACTCACTTGTATTAGGTATACAGGACCAACCAGTGTGCTGGCGAGTTTGTTGTGACTTTTCCTCGTGCCTATCACTCTGGATTTAACCAGGGATACAACTTTGCTGAAGCTGTGAACTTTTGCACTGCTGACTGGGTCTGTTCTTTTGTATATGTTTGCCATGTCTCTACTAGGTGACCTTTACAAGGAGAACGTTAGTAACTTGTTTATCTGAAGGATAATCTTATGTTATGTTACATGTTTTATGTTTATAGTTCCAGGTACAACAGTTAGGCTGATTTGAGCTTCCTTTACAGAAAACGATTTTGATGAGCACATAATTCTGAACAGCTTCCAACCAAAACTTTTGAGTATGGTCTGTCTTTTGAGCCTTCTTCTAACCTGAACGTGGCATTTCATAGTTCCTTTAGGTTGCATTTCTGTGATCTGGGTTGGTATAGGTTAACATACGGTGTTGAATTGCTGTTGTCGTTTGAATGTTGGAGGTAGGCATATGACTGTTTTATTCTCCTTTTGTGTCAGCTCAGTGCACCTCATCGTTATATTTGTGCTTGTTTTAATAGCCATGCCACGCCAAAGCATAACTTATATGGATTCATCAGTAAGTTCTCTAGAGAAGTGTGTCCTACTGCCATCCAGGGCTAACAGTAGGAAGTTAAGATCTCATCCTTACTTTATCCATCTACCTTCTGTTTTGATGTGTTTAAGTAGAACTTCTAGTCCTTAATCAGAAAATCAGAAAATTTTAGTCGTTAATCAGAGAAGTTGTCTGCAGGGTTGTCATAGTGTCAGTGTTCTTGTTTTCCGCTGTACGCGTTATGTAATCTGTGTGTAGCCTCTGGGGAATCTGCAAAACTCACATTAGCCATGTGAGATTTCCTTTGCTTATATAAAATATAACCCAGAAATCTGTGTAGCCAATTCCTCTAGTGTGTGGGTTTTTTTTTTTTTTTTAAGTTCTGAAACAGACAAAATGGATGACATTAGTTTTGCTGAACTTTAGACATCTTCCAGTTAAATGTCTTAAGTCCAAGCATAATGATATCCAGAGGGCAATGAATTTCACCCTAACAGAGATTGTCTTTACAGTGCCAGTTTCGCTCCACTAACGGTAAAAAGAGCTTAGGACAACTCTTAATGCCTGAAGGTTAGGCATGTAAGTTTATGGCAGATGACTCCCACCCAACATGGATACCCTCTTTGAACCTCAAAAATCTTTTGTCATTTCTGTGACATGATTTGAAGGCTGTTACAAGTGACTCTCTTCCATAAGATATTAGTCTATTTCTGAGACTCATTTTCTCTCTAGGTGTTGTCAAGGGAAGGAAAGTGGGAGATAAGAGAGTCTCTTGGAATGTCTTCCCACAATGATAGACATTATGAATTTTTGTCTTTTTCCTCTAGCTTCCCATTGGACGTCAATGTGTGAGTCACTACCGAAGGCTAGGACGTCATTGCGTTTTTTCCCATGAAGAGCTGATCTTCAAGATGGCTGCAGATCCAGAGTGCTTGGATGTAGGGCTTGCTGCCATGGTCTGCAAGGAGATGACTCTAATGATAGAGGAAGAAACACGCTTAAGGGAGTCTGTTGTACAGATGGTAAGCAGTAAAAGAGAACGCTCACTTCGCTTGCAAAAGGAAGTTTGCTTTCCCCCTCCTTCCCTGGGATCTTTATCAAGCGTCTAACCCTTTTTATTAGGGAGTGTTGATGTCTGAAGAAGAGGTGTTTGAACTGGTTCCAGATGATGAGCGTCAGTGTACAGCTTGTAGGACCACGTGCTTCTTGTCAGCTCTTACATGTTCTTGTAATCCTGAGCGTCTGGTGTGCCTATACCATCCGTCCGATTTATGTCCCTGTCCAATGCAGAAGAAGTGTCTAAGGTACGCATGATTTTTTTTCACTCTTCTCCCACATGCGATGTTTTACTGGAGGTTCACAGCTAAATACAACATTAGCTGCAAGTCCTCCTGTGACTAGGAGGAATGTTTTTATCCTCTTTCCTTCTTTCTTGCTCCCGAGGTAGAGGATATGATAACAAGTTCTGTCTCTGTGGCCTTGTTTTAGCTGGAGACTTTTAGTATAAGCAATATCCTGGCTTTTGTATGAATGTTAATACTCTAGCATTACTTTCTTTCCACATCTCCAGGTACCGGTACCCACTAGAAGACCTTCCTTCTTTGCTGTATGGAGTGAAAGTGAGAGCACAGTCCTATGACACTTGGGTCAGTAGAGTTACAGAGGCTTTGTCTGCCAACCTCAACCACAAGAAAGGTCAGACTTCTGTTGTTCATTGCAGGAGTTCTAGGACATCCTACTTCTAGTCTGTGTGCTCCTTTAATAAGATAGACAGCGTGTTGTCCTTAGTGGAAAAAAGAGCTAATCTGAAGAAGTATAATACAACACATTATTGTGCTTTTCGAATTGAAGTAGGCTGTCAGAACCTTGATTGAAGGCTTAAACAGTCTTTTATTTCAGTCTTTTATTTCTGCATACAAATTATTTATATCCTGTTGTTACAGATGTGATTGAGTTGAGAGTGATGTTGGAGGATGCTGAAGACAGGAAATATCCAGAGAATGATCTTTTCCGCAGGCTCAGAGATGCTGTGAAAGAAGCAGAGACTTGTGCTTCAGTAGCACAGCTGCTTCTGAGCAAAAAGCAAAAACACAGGTAGGACAGGAATTTTTCAACTGTTTCAGTCTATCTTGTTGCTTGCTTGGACGAAGATGTACGAACCCTGAGATCTCACTGCCTCCTAACTTTTTTCCATGTTTGCCCTTAGTGCTGTGACCCCTCGAGAGATAGGAAGGCAGATGTAAAGATGCAAAGGGCCAAAAAGCAGATGTGACTTGTGTTAAACATGTGTTTTCAGCTGACTTGCCTCCTGAAATGTGAAATACTCTGAGAGTTTGGGTTTGGTTGCTGGTCAGGGATTTCTCTGAATGTGTGTGAGTTGTAGG